ATGAACTTGGGCTCAACAGCCAGCATCGTGTCGTGCTCTAGACAGCTCACTGGCTTGTCCCGAAGTGCCTACTGCCCCTGCGCTGGGCTCTGGGGATGCAGAGAGGAATCAAATGCAGCCCCAGCGGACACAGAGCACCGGCAGCACCACACCGAACACTGCGTGGCCTCACAGAATTCACCTGGGCCTCCATGTTTGCATAAACTTGATTCTTCTCTGTTTTTTTGTTTTTGTTTTCAAACTTTCTTCTGTTTGCATCTGGATCCCAACTACCATGCCACGTTTTACCTGTGCCAGTTCAACTTACCTGGCTGTAGCCTCGAGATGCAGGGGCCTCTCATTCGCATCCAGGTCGGATGCCCCCGGGGCTACCTATGGGCTCTCATCCCAGATTGCAGCCCCCACGGTGTCCTGCCCCTCCCTCCATGGTAGCTCTGGGCTGGGACCTCCGACCTTCTTGGAAATGGGTTGCATTTTCTCTAAAGTACTTTTTCAGCTTTTACATCCCTATCTCTGACTGCGTCCTGTGTCCCTTGTGTACGAAAAGGCTAGTGTGGCCCATCTTCAGTTTGCCTGGCTGTTAACTGGACAAGGGAAACGATAAACCCTTGTATTCTCTAGTGATTTATAGCTTTCAAAAACATTATCTGAAAACACTTGTTTTTTTTTTTAGTTGACCCTCAGACACTCCTGTGAAAAGAGTGAAGTAAAATCCTTGCAAATTCTACTAAACTCGGAGAACTTAGAATTTCTTGCCAGGATGGCCTCTGTGTGGGGGTACTGCTGCTCCATCTGCTGTCTTAGTCTGTCTCAGTCCAAGTTCAAAAGGTGGGCAACCTGGTAACTTTGCTTTTTACCCAAACCACTGCATTTCAAATAAACTAAGCCAGTCCGAACAGGTCCCTCACATTCCCAAATCCTTTGGGATTTGGATCCCCTGTCCAGTCTCCCCCTTTCCTACCCCCACAGTCAGATTCGGCACAGAATGTCTGGATGCTGTGTTTCAGAAACATGGAGCTTCCAGCCGTCTGTCCCTGGACTGGCGTACCTGGCCTCAGGCTTCTGCGACCGTCACAAACTGGTGAACGAAATGCATTTGCCCCGTGGCCTGGAGGTGACATGAAAACATAGCCTCTGCAGCCTTGACCCAAAAATCCACCTCTTCCTCCCATTTAGGTCATTTCACCCCAAATCTGGCAAGCTTCTGAGCGATGAGCACTGCTTGGGCATTAAACACAAACCACGGTACTTTTTAAAACATTTATATTTATATATATAAAAAAATTAAATATATATAATATATAGTGTGTTTGAGACTAAAAATATAGTACATAATATTTAAAAAAAAGGAAAATGAAAAAAGGCAGAATAGGAAAAGGTGTGAGGGACACACAGATACACATTGCTAAAAACCTACGATGGTCTGTCCTAACAAAAAAAATATATTTTTTTTTCCTCTTCTCTGAATGATCATCATGGATCCATTTGTTATCGGGGTTTGGGTGGAGAAGATTCAACTGGAGTCAGAAGTGGAGGCTGTAATTCCAAGAACAGTTGGGGTAGAAAACATGACCACAGGGCCCTGGGCCTCTTTCTGGTGTAACTGGAGGTCACTCAACCTCTGGGTCACTATTGCTGACAAGATTGTGTCGCGAGTTTGACTGTGTTGGCAACCTGACCGCTGTCTCCCCAGAGTCAGGGGAGCAGCGCCTGCAGACCCCCACAAGTGAACAGGAAGAACCCACGGCCCACCAACACTTGCAAAGGCCAGTGGTGGGGCCAGCAAACAGCCGGGACTGGGGGACAGGAGGTTGTAGGAATGAGTGACAGCGCTATGCAAATGGAGTTACTATTATTATTACTGTTATTATTTTTAAGGGCGGGCTTGTACCAGGACCGCCCAGTATGGCCTGTGACTTCGGCGCAGCAGTGATGCCTCCAGGGACAGGGCCTGGAGCTCCCTCACAGTGATGCAGGAAAGTGGGATTCTGCCCTCTCCCTGTCCCCGATCTCCCAATTTCTGAGACCTGCCCCGAGCCACACACATCTTCCCAGCCCCTCCACCAGCCCAGAGGTGTGATGTCAGGACCAAGCTGAGAAAAGTGAGGCCAACGCCTTTCAGGAGGCTGGCCTCCAGGAAAGGAGGCAGACCGTGGGGGGAGGGTAAGGGGGAGGCAAGCAGAAGGGATATTTCCGTGTTAAGTTGATCACCTCTTCACAAAAATAAATGCCTTTCCAATTACATCCCTCGGTCTGTGCACATCAGTGTTCTAGTATCACCTCCTCACTGGTCCCACCAGGGTCGGAAATTTCATTAATGCCTTTCAGGTGAGTCCCTCCACATGCAGAAGGGCCTGCAGGGGCACAGAGCGGTGACCTGGCTCAGGACACACACTAAACCGGCAGAGAAGCCAGGGTCCCCGAGGCCGGGCTTGCCTTGGGCGGGCAGCAGTGGGCACTGAACCGCCTTCCCAGCAGAGGGAGGCCAAGACTGAGCCAGTTAAGTCCAACTGGGGTCTTGGTTTTAATGGGGTTTTCTCCAAACCCGAGTGGCCCAACATTGCCAGGGACATGGCTCAAGTACACTGAGTGACCATCTGATCCCATTGGAAGGAGCCCAGGTCTTGGGGCTCCTAATAGAGTGCTGCTCAGTTAATGAGGGCATGAGGGCAAAACAGACCCCAGGGCAGAAGAGGCCATCCTCAACATGATGAGAAAAGTGGCACCTGCTGTGACAAGGAGAGGGCACAGTGCCTGGACCAGGGGGGATCAAACTAACCTCTTTCATCCCGGTGGGACATTGGCGAGTGCACAGCCCTGCTCCCACCCTGGGCGCTTTCCTTTCTTACCGTTTTTCTTTTTCTTTCACGTAAACTTTGTACCTAGACTTGGGGGGATCTGGGATTTAGGAGGTAGATTGGGCCCTCCACAAGAAGACTGCGGGTCACCTAGGATCACATGGAGCTCTTCAAGATCCAGAACTTGTGTCAAAAACTGCTGCACCCCCTCTTGCTCTAGCAGCTGCCCTTTGACCTGCTCCCGCACACAGGGGTCAGCTGCACTCACGCCTCACCCTCTGGTTTGACACCTCAGTCTGCAGGCTCCGCCTTGCTCCGTGTAAGTGGGGCTGGCTGTCCTTGGGCCACGGGAATGCACCTCTTCCCAGAGAAGGTTGCCTGAAACCTGGGTGCACAGTGGAGGGGACTCCCTAAGTCCTGCCCTGGCCAGACACGCCTCTGTGACACTGCCGGAACGCAGCGTGGGGAGAGGCACAGTGGCCAAAGGGTCACCCCACATCAATTTCACTGAAGTGTAGGATGTGCTTTTAGATGCTGTTTGGGAACAAGGGGTTCCCGGTGCAAATTCATTCACAACCCTTCTGAACAGGAAGATGAAGCCCATGGTGACAGCTTCTTTCAAGAGAGGAGGACCTTTCAACTCCCCCATCCCTTCACCTGCCCAGTCACTGTTTCCAAATCCTTGCCAGGGATGGGAGGCCCCTCCACCTCACCAAGAGCACAGCAAGAGAAGAATGACTAGGTCTGTGCGACCTTAAAGACCAGAACACGAGCCGCAGTGAATGTAAGAAGCTAGGCCAAGGTCCCTCAGTAAACAGCAGCCTCAGGACCGCGTCCCATGTCTCCTGAACCCTGGCCCCTCCCACAGAACCCCGAATGTCAAAGGCAGGCGGGATCACCAAAGTGACCACAAGTACTGAGGCACCATCTTGGAGGACTCCAGCCTTAGACAACAAAGCTCAAAGCTCAAAGCTCAAGGGCATCTTCTACTCCCCAGGGAAGCAATTCCATTGGCCTCAGGTCGGTCCCAATTCAGAGTCTGATCGGACCACAGTGCAAGTTGCAGAGGGCAGAGACAGCCTCGATTGCCTTGCACGGTGCTAGCTTGACACCCAGGAGGCCCCAGGTCATGTGCTAAGGAACAGAGAACAGGGAAGTAGCTCTGTGTCAGGCTTCTGAACCCAAAGGTGCCTGCAGGGTCAGCCGAGTTACCTAGTGACTTCAGGGCCGCCTCCTCTCCATCATTTCAACAGAACGGACCCAGAGCTAAAACCAAAGGAGGAAAAAAGAGAATGTGGCCAAACCCCGTACAGAAATGTCTTTTTTGGGGGTTTACTCCTGTTTTAAAAAGCCACCATCTTTAGACTCTAACCATTTATATTACCCATGCCTTCTGTGAAAATCATCAAAATACGCATGAATTTGCACAGGAACCTGCATCCTTAACAGAGCTTGTTACTGAGTTCACATAAAAAGACTCCACAGGGTCAGGAGTCAGCTTTCAGGGGAAGGGGTGGAATAAAACCAGGAGCCTCTACCGTGCTTCCGGCCGGGCGGGTCCACAGGACTTACCCCCACTGAAATGGAGGAGGGTGCAGTGGCAGCCCGAGAGGCTCCAAGCCGAGTAACTGCCTTCCTGTGCTGGCTGGTCCTTACCAGTAAGGGGATGGCGAGGAATGTCACCCCACAGACCCATCCGCGAAGGTGGTGATGGCCCGTGGCTGATGAGCGTGTAACGCATTAAAGTGAACATGCTAATGAACGGTGACCACGAGAAAGGGCAAAGCGCGTTCTGGGAACTGCAACGGAGGACTGGTCCCGTTAGAACCCAGCGAGGGGAAGAGCAGACTCCAGACCCTGCTTCTTGGGAAGGGGAGGCTGGGGCAGGGGGACAAGTTCTCTTTGGAGCGCCGGTTCTCTTTGGTCAGAAGGTGGCGGCTGGGAATGCGAATGCGCCTGTGGGTATGCGTGCACGGGGGTGGGGGGCATGGGGGCAGCATGTGGGCGGCTGCCTGCAGTGCCCTTCCGAGTGACCCTACCTGGCCAGCCCTTCCTCTTACCAGACCCCCTTCCTCTCCAGGCCCCCTCACCCATGTCCCCTAAATTCTGCAACACTTGACAGTGACTTTGGGCTCATAATACCGGCTCCCCACATAGCCACCCAAACAGGGCCGGTCAACCAACGCTGGACACTGAAGGCACTGAAAGTGGAAGAAGGAATCTGATTGGCTCAAGACAAAAAAAAAAAAAGACACTTAACAAACCCAAACCTGTCCAAAGAGAACATCTCCCATGCCCCCTGGAAGGTGGCCTCTCTAACCAGCTGGTTCCCCCTAGGGTAGGACAGCAGAGCCTGACAGCCAGGTCCCCTCCTTGTCCTAGCAGAACCTACTGGGTGACAGGTCTCACCACCTGAATGTTTAAAAATGGATTCAAAGTGCTTCGAGATTGAAAGAGTAATGGAAGGTGCCTGGTGGAGACAGACACCCCTTTCCTTTCCACTGGGACTTGTATTTGGGTGGGGGGACTCTCTACAGCTTCTTTTTTCCAAATGAGGTTTTCATTGTTTTTTTTTGTCTGTCTTTGAAAAATATCCTATAGTACCCCCACCCTCACCCTCCCACTCCCCCAGGCAGGCTCAAGAGTTAAAGCCAGGAGGTGGGGCAGAATGGGGAGAGCAGGGGGCTTGGGTGGGCTCCTTCTAGCATGTGCTCTGGAAACTTCTATGTAGCACACAGCTGTCTTGCTGGGGAATCAGGACATGGTTCCTGATCTTTCTTTCTCCACACAACCTCTGGTTTCTCTGGCTGGCCCAGCACAGAAGAGAAGGAAAGAGGGCAGCGCTATGGGAGATACCTGGAACCCCTCGGGAGGCGGACAGACAGGTGTCCACAGTGGGCAGCCAGGATGATTGGCATCTGAATGAGGGCTGGATCTGAACTCGGTGCCAGGGCTAAAGTAAATCCAAGGTCCTTCTGCATCCCGAGGAGGGAGAGATGCACTGAAGGTATGAGTGCAGATGAACAGAGGGACCGGCCAGTCTATCCCAATTCCATCTACCTGTGCCAGAGCCACTCACCCCCACACTTCATGTCTCCTGGGTCAAAGCCTGCTCATCCCCACAGGACCCCAGTCCACTTACGGGAGACCAGAGGGGTGAGATAGAAAGGGAATGCTAAAAAGTGCCCCCTCTGCTCTCCGCAACCTTCACTTTCCCCGTGCCCAGGCTGGGGCCAGGCGAGAGTGCAGGTCAGAAGAGACACATCCTCCCGAAGAAGAGGGAAAGGCAGGCCCAGGAGGCTGGGGCATGCACAGAGCACCATCCTCGGGACGGGGTGTTTCCGGGAGACCTGCTCCCCGCCTGCCACGGTGGGAGGAGGAAGGCTGGACCAGGACGGGAGCAACAACGAGCAACGCCCCTGAATATCAGGGAACAGCTGTGAGAGCCTTCTCCTCTGCCCCGCAGAGATGCCCCGGCCAGGCTCGGGCCCTACACGTGAGTCTGCATGCGCTGCTGGAACCTCTGGCCGTAGTCCGAGTGCTGGGAGGTGTAGGAGAACCGCGTGGCTGTGGCGTACTTGCCAATGGGGTCATACGCCTCGTACGGGGTCCGCTCCAGGCCGGAGGGCGGGGCCTGGGGGTAGCCCAGCCGGTAGGTGGGGTACCCTGCTGCCCCGGGGAAGGGATGGGAATTGAACTTCTCATAGTTTTCGTAGGACAGCTGGCTAGTCGTGTCGGTGCCAGCGGGGGCAGCGGGCCCAGGGGCTGTGGGCTCAGGGCCGTAGTCGGAGGCCGGCGCCCGGCTGTAGGTGTTGAGCTGGGCGTAGCCGCTGGAGTGGGAGAGGCGGGAAGACGGGCGGCCGTCGAAGCGGGCGGGGCCCGGGGCCCGGTAGTCCGCATAGAGCACTGCCCTGGAAGACGGGCGGTCCTCGTGGGCACGCACGTTGTAGTAGCCATTGGTGGGGTCCTGGGGGGCAACGAGAGAAGAGCATGGAGGAGGGAGGTCCCTCCTGGGGGAGGGGTGTCACGTCTGGCCACGGAGCTCTGGGCCTCGTTCTCTGGCTCTGCCCGGCGTTCTCAGCCAATAGCTCTCCAGCTCTGTTCCCTCAATAAGCCTCCTGACCGCTCCTCCACGAACACGCCCTCACCCCACCCCTGCGCTGGCCCACAGAGTCCCCCCGCCCCTCCCCGCCCCCGTGCGCCGGCCCCTCCCCCTTCCCCACCTTCATCTCATACTCCTCCCGGGTGTCGATGGTGTCACAGCGCAGGTCCTGCTTCAGGTCCACATCATCCTTGAAGGACTGCAGAGCAGCAGGAGTTGGGCGTCAGGAGATGGACGCCCTGTTCTTGTCCCCTGCTGCCCACCCCATCCCCACGCCCACAGGCCACCTGCTAAGGGGAAGGATCTGGGGTCACAGGCCGACTTGAATTCTGTGTCCTGTCCCAGCAGCGCAGAGGCTCTGGGATGTGGCAGGAAGAGGCCAGAGTCCTGGGTTCTAGCACTGATTTTGTCCCTAACATGCAATGCTTGGGTATGTCACTGCTCCTCTATGAGGCTGTTTCCTCATCCGAACAGTGAAGCAATTGGCCACAAAACTTATAGGGGTTTCCAACTCTGACACTCTATGGTGGGAGGATGGGGCTCCGGAAGCCCGTGGAGGCCCCACCTGCCTGTCCTCTGCTGAAGGGAAATGAGCCTGGGGAGCGTGTGCACGTGTATGTGTTTGTGTGCGCATGCGCATGTGTGCGTCAGCGTGTAGTGTGTGTGCACGTGTACGTGTGTGTGGCAGGACCAAGGTAGGCCAGGTGGGGCTGGTCCCAAGAGTGTTAAGGGTGTGGGCCAAGAAGGGTGTGGGCCAAGGAGTAGAGGACCTCACCGAGTAGATGGCTTTCATGACGCGGGTTGCCGTGGAGACGCTGGCAGTGTCGTCCTCCCGGTCGGAGTGCATGGTGAGTGGCTCACGGTTCACTGTCTCCACCTTGATGTCCAGCTTCCTAAGGGTCACGTCTTTGCGACCTGGGACAAGGAGGAGCGGCCTGGACGCTTTCTGCCAGCCTTTGCAGCGGCTGCTCCTGGACCCACCTGGGCTGGGGAGTGCGGCAGCCAACCCCTCTCGGCCCTCCCAGGCACTGCTGGTTGGGGACCCCTGGGAGAGCGGCAGCTCGCATAGGGCCCACACTCACTGCCTTTGCGGCGCCGGTAGAGGAAGAACACCAAGGCGATGAAGAAGAAGATAAGCAGGATGCCTGCGCCAATGGTGGCCCCGGCGATGATGCCCACGGGTAACACCTCTGCAGATGAGGGAAGGAAAGGGGCAGGGCTAAGGATGGAGTCACACCGGGGATCTGAGCTCAGTGCCAAGCCCCACGCACCGCTGGATTGTGCACAGGGTGGTGTGTCTGCTGAGCTGCGTTCAGTTTAAGTAGAGGGGGTATTTGAGAGGAAATCTGCATTGTGTTTGGGTTTAGACCTGAGCTTCAGCTTGATCACAGTCGGGATCAGCTTGACCCTGGTCTCGGTGCTCCGTCTGTCCCTTGCAGCCCACCTGCCTGTGAGGCTCGTCTCTCCTTCCTGGGCTGGGCTCCTCAGAGGTCAACTGTCTCCGAATTCTCCCACCTGCCACCTGTGTTCTGACCCCTTTCGCCACCTTCCCCACCTGCACGTTGTGACCACTGTAGCTGCACCTACCCTCCCAGGGCTCAGTTGGTTCCCCCTGCTCCCCAGGAATCCTGCCGCCAGCTCTCTCTCCCTTCCTGGCTGTCCTGGACGGATCAGATCTGTGTCAGGCTCTTCCCCTCCAGACAGCCTTCCCTGCAAAGTCCCGCCTTACTCCATCTGCTCTTCCCCCCACCCCCTTGTTCTCGCTGGTGCCCTCATCTAAGACAGAACTGAGGAGGTCCCCAGTTATTTTCCTCCTTCTCCCATGTCAAATGGCTAGTTCTTTTTTTTTTAAACGCTCTTTCTTGGGAGCTTCCAAAAAAAGTCAAAAGCATGCCTCTTTCATCAGGTTAGAAGTACCTTAAGCAAGGGAATATGTCTCTTATCAGACTAAGGATTAGTGAAGAGGTTGGGGAACCAAAACTTACTGGGCACCTATTATATGCCAGATACTCTAAGGATATTCTCTCATTTAATCCTCACACGAATCCAGTGAGGTAGGCAGAGTTACTGTTTCACAGATCATTT